GTATCCATGTGACTGAAACGTGATCTGTTTATACAGGGAAACAGGCTGTCTGTTCTCCATCATTTTGCGAAAAGTCAAAAGGTCTTTCTGTTGAATCCTCTCTTTCACGGGCAACCACCCCAACATCTGCAGCAAAGCGTCCTTGCTTGTGGATCTGTTGCATCCGAGGGCAAGCCTCGCAGCTCTGTTTTGTATCACTTGCAGCCGCTTTATGTTCTTCTCTGACGTACTTGCCCACACTGAACTACAGTAGTCTAGGTGGGAAAGTACCAGGGCTTGCATCAGTGCTGCCCTCTGTTTTGCGCGGAAGTGATTTTCTCACCCTACCCACTTGGGCCATGCACCTGTTGCATTTCTTTACTACGTGGTCTATGTGATCGTCGAATGTGAGGCTTTGGTCCACATGAACTCCCAGAAGTTTGACGGTAGGCACTTGCTCCAAACTCTGCCCCCTGAGTTCCAGCTGTAGAGCAGGGGCAAGCCTTGTCTTCCTAGAAGTTCCCACTAGCATGGTCTTTGTTTTGCCATTGTTAAGTTTGAGCCTGTTGTAGTCCGACCATTTAGCCACACATTCTAAATCCACAAGAGCCTTGGCTTTTATGTCCTGTACGGTATGCCCTGCTGTATGTACTGTACTGTCGTCTGCATACTGATCCAGTTCCCCATAGTATTCACATTGGTAACATGTATAGTTTTTAAGAGTTGAGAGTGTTTTTTGAAGCAGGAACTACAAATGTAGTGTATTTTAGTTGAAAGGTTTCCAAACATAAGGTTCCAAATATTGTTGTGATGAAGTGATGTAGTGTTAATGTTTCCCTGTTTTCCAGACAACACCACAGTGTCTGATGACACAGTATCAGATGCCTTTGGACCAGCTGTCCGGGACACTAAGATCAGGAACATGAGAACGTATCCTCTTTGTACTGTTGTAAATATCATAGTCATTTGGTTGCCTTTTAAGAATGTGCTGTGTCCATGCTTTATAAGAAACTATGAAAGGATGACTAGAAAATTTGGCACAAGCTCTAAACATTTGTCATATCATTCAAGCGCATTCCAACTCACAGCAGGTAACGCTACATATTTTGTGCAGGGTAGTTTTTGTTACATGTGAAAGTCATTGATGACAGGAATATACTGGTACATCCAGCTGTTTAGGGAATTTTTGGTGAAAAAAGACTCATAGTTTGAGTAGGCCCATACAATAGCAAACAAGGATTTTCTTTACCTTTTCATCAGCTTGACAGTTTTTGTGTTAAGTATAGATGAATGTATAACTTTTCAAAATTGAGGATCCTTAACAGTTCCTTCAGGCAATGTGAGAAAGCTCTAGGAAAAGACACATTCAAAAAGGTGTACAGGTAAGATCACCATTTCTTTGTCATCACAGAAAAGCACAGACATACGATTTTCATTTAGCAGTCCTAATACATGTACAAGGTAGATTGATACATTTTGTACCATAACAAATTTGTGCACATTTAATGGCATAGATCTTTAGATAAAGAAACTCTCAAAGGCTGTAGAATTTTCTGCTGCACTGTTATCTATTGTGTAGTCTACATGCCTCCCTGTAACACTGTACTACCTACAGGTACCTGAAGGACACCCGCTTCGGTGGCAATAACGAGACAATAGACGAGGTGGACCTGATGAACGGACTGTGGAAGTTTGTGACCAATCCCAGCGACTGTTTCATCGTGGACCAGCTCCTGTTCCTAGAAGAACAAGCCAAGATTGGCCAGGCATGACGGAGGAACTGCTGACTAGATCAGATGTAGATTCTCCTCTAGTATTGAGGTTGTTCAGTTTTGAGAGGACCATCATGTCGGCAGAACATATTGCACCTGCGCGATACCCGTAATGTATTGTGCATAGCACTTTGGCAGAACGTCTCATATATGGTTAAATTCATGTATATAAGGTTGACATCACGTCTGTAGTCTCCAAATGTTATGTCAGAAAAGATGTCTTCTATAATGGGCAAAATTCTGATGCAACGTTTACCAAATATCCGAGCTAATATCCAACAAAAACTGTGAAAAATTGGGATTTTGGGCAGGCCCACTATGTTCTACCAACATGCTGAGTGGACCAAGTCATTGAATGTACATAATTGCCATATTTGGGCAGATGGTTGAAGCAGATTTCTGACAATTACTGGAATGAACCAGTATTTTTTAAATGTCAGAATGACAGGCAAAGTTTTAAAGATAATGGTAATACAAGTGATGTTCACTTTCCTTCTTGCCTCTACTAATAACTAACTACTGGTAACCCATTTGTAGATTCCCTTAATGTGTTACAAGAAGGATTATTAACAAAATAAGGGTTTTCTTGGATAATGTCATAGTTGATTTGACATTGGTCGGCAATTTCAGCATTACTGACCATGTAATTGTTTTTGCTTTCTATGTACATATTTGATGTACATAGAAGGACTAAAAAAACTTATACGGCCTGTATTCAAAATTATTATTTCCACTTGTTATTGTACACAAGAAATAGAAGGCCATCATGAACATGAGCATGAAGGCCATCATGCTTTTTATCTGTTTTTTTATTACATCGGTTTTGATAATCAGTAAAAATATGCATGTACAATGTATACCAGTATGACATTGAAATACTTTTTGCCATTGTTCCCATTCTCTTGTGAAAAGAATGTAAATTGTCATCATTGCTGTAACAAGAAACATTTTGCAAGAATTCTGGAAGAAGTGGAAAGCAGCAAAATGTCTTGGTCAAGAAATAGAAAAGTCATGTAATATGTATTTTAGAGGTGATTTGTCAGCCATTGAAGGTACAATGTATATGGGAACATGTTGTGAATTTTAAACTGTACAATATAATTATCTTCTCACCATCACTCCGTTCAACTAACAGTTCTCACTACCAAACTACTGAACATAAAATAGATAAAAACCGGAAATTGTTGATAGGTACCTTGTAAGATGCATAACATACAAAAATTGTCATGAGGAAATTATGTGTATGCAGATTTTATTATGGTTCTCAGATAAACTGTGTAATTGTCAGGATGCACAAGGCTTGCTAATGTCATTGTAGAGACAGTTGTATAGTGGGACCACAGAGACTCTGAGTGCTGCTTGACACCTTGTGCCTTATGTTCTAACACAATGTGCCTCATTCTGTTCAAATAATATATTGAATCTCAACATAAGTGCTTTAATGTTATCATCTGCAGTGGCTGATTGTAGTTGTTGAGAGTACCTGCCAAACTGGACATCAGTTCTCAGATAAGTTGTATGAATTTAGCAAGGTGACATTGATTTAATAGGATTGCAGGACTGAAATTGTGACAATTTTTGTACCTTGCAGTTGGTTAGCATAACCATGATCCTATAACAGGAAACTTGTAGTTAATACCAGATAAGAGATGCACAGAGATGTTGAACACATTTTTGTCATGCAGAAGACAGTACAATACCAAGATGTGCCTGACATCACTAAGAATTCTGTTTCTATTATTATTAAGTCAGATTCATAGCACAGTATGAATTTCTCTTGATGTTATACCAATGATTTCAATGACAAGCAGGTTTTTATAAATGCAACTGAAATTTCATTGTTCCAGTGCACTCTGTTACGGTCATATCCAGAGCATTTTTCTTGTGTGTTAATTGTGATTACCATCTGGTACTGTAGGTAGTTGGAGGAAAAAATGAACTGCAAACCAGTTAATTTGCTAAAATTTGATTCAAAATGATGTAGTTTGTCTTAAACTTTATTGCACTCCATTTTGGATCTATATTGTTGGCATTAATTTTTGCTTTGACTGGAATGCAGCCATAGTATTCTGTCAATGTCCCTGTCTGCAAACATTGCAGTTACCGTAATATTCATGCAGATGTTGAGAAGAAACTTCAAAGTTTGTGATTTTCCTTCAGCTGGCCATGGCTATTCTTTTACAAATGTGTGCATGAACAAAGATGTTGATCAAAATATGTCAGGCAACAAAAAAGTTTCATATGTATGATTACTTTCCACTTTCCAACCAAGTCATGTCTTCGATATCAAAGGATCAAATGAGCATGCATAGCAAAATACTGTAAATGTAACCAATGACTCTGCAATCATCATTAATTGCTGTGCTTGTTGCATTACATTCCATATCCCATACCTGACATGTTAACCAGGATGGGACATAACAGTTATCCCAGATTTATTTTGATATGTTCTGCCGCCATAGAATATTAGTCAACATTCAATTGGACACATCATTCAGTATTGTTTAATACACATTGTTTAACAATACATTGTACTATTAAAGACAAGGCAACGTGTACTTCAAGTTCAACATGACATTGTCTCTTTTTTTAATCTGAAATGTTTAGCTTGGTCACTTATGGGGGCCCGGGGGCGCTAACTACCCTGGCCGACTGGATCGTGTTTCGCGGGTACATGTGCTTGGCAGGCCGATAAGAAACCAGCCGCGACCCGCTGTACTCTGGCTTCCAGGGTAACTTACAAGGCGGCCAACCTCCTCTGGCAAATTCTCCCCCCTTTTTGTTAATGGATAAAAAAGACAACTGCCTATTGGATTAACGCTATTTAATTTATTAACGTTGTAATACAGGTCTTACAGGTGCAAAAGTGGAAAGTAAAATGACACTTTTTTTTCTGTCAGCCGATCAACATTATCTCTCGAGAGGGCTATTTTAAAAGTAAAGTCTATGCACTACCAGTACTATCTGATTTAAGGGTGCCTGCATGCCCTTTCTCGTAAGACGTAATAAATCAGGCTTTTTTAGTCTTCGCAATCCGTAGGCAACCTCCCAAAAAATTAACGTAATTCGTAATGGCACATTACCTGCAAAGCGTAAAGTCGTAATAAGCTCTGAGACTTTAACATCATTCGTAATTGGCGCCAACGTTTTTAAGCGCGCATGGCACCACGGGAAATTGCCATCTGGTAAGCCGCCCTGGTAAGCCCCACCGTGACTCACCGGGAACCCCCCAAGCTGCGTCTGCGCAGTTCAGCTTGTTTCCGCCGCCCCAAAGCGTACGCGTACATACCCTGTTGGACCACACCTGCATATTTCCTGACAAACAGTGCAGAGTTCTACATTCATTGAAGCCTTTCGGGTTTGTAAGTATAACTACGGAGCTCCTTGGTATAACCAAATATGGACCTCAATTTGGCTAGTACAAGTGATATAGAACGTCCTTGCGGGAATGATATATATATCATATAGATATATTTCTAATCTAGGCATCTTGTTTTTTAGGGCCCTTCTTGTTTTTTTTTCGCCCTCTCGCATTAGATTTAGGGTCTCCAAAGGACGTCATCCATAAAATTTACTTGGTGTGGCCTTAGCTGCCTACGTATACTGCCTTGGTATAATTGATATGTCAAGCGATAACTTACGAATTTTACGTACTGCCAGCTTGTTCGTAGATTCAATACACATATTGGTTTTGATGATAAATGAAAGTGTATAACGTTACTAGATATGCAGTGCTGTATATTGTACTTTTGTGTTACGATACGCTAAATAGGTTCTGCAATTTCCCTACAAGGAAGCCAGACCAGGCACATGCAACTTCCCAAAGTTTAGAATATCGACCGGTCACCCTCTTAGAGATCAAATCGGTTAAATGTTAATTTCATTTTGTTAACATGAACACTGCAAATAGATTTCAGATGTCTTCAAATCGGTTTGCTCCAAGGCAGCTCTTGAAAACCATACTGCGACACATTTGTTGGCCAGCTGTCTATGTTGTGTGTGCAGCAATTATTGATTGCAAAATGCCGTAACGTTACATGTAGTTAGGGGACGTTTCAGTTTCGAACGTTATAGCAAGGGGGTAAACCTTCTTGGTAATATAGCAAGGAGCACAAATTTTGCTGCCCAGCTATGGTGCCCTCTACCACTGTGACTTTTAATAATTAATACTAGTATTTAACAGTAGAGTAGAGAGCATCACATGAGCAGAAGCTGTTTGTTTGACCTTTAAGCATCACATGGGTGTTTGTATCATGTGATGGATCGCTGGGTAGATCTGTCTCTGGCTGCCTCCCAGGCAGTGTTGAGGTCGAGGCCACAACCAGAAGGTCGTCCTTGAGGGGACAGCCCACTAATTCCAGCTCCTATTGGAATATATGGAAAACATTAAAGAATCACCTACTTGAGTGTTCAACTATTGTAAACACATATTGACAGGGTAGTCCAACTTCCAAATTGTCCATTTAGGCCAAAAATTTCACTTTTTGACCAGCGATACATATCACGGCAAATGCAAACACTGGCAGCATGAACTCTGACCCCCTTGAAAACCACCAAAAGACAAGAAGATGGGATTAGTTTTAGAACCTACCAAGCAGCCAGAACAACACTAACAGCCAGTTTTTTCAAGTTAATAGAAATAGAAATAACTCTCCAGCTGGAAAATACCAGCATTCATCCACACATACCAAGAAAAAGGCTGTTTTCAGTTGGTTTAGCTGCACTCAATCAAAGGGGTCTCAGATTGGGCCCTCTGGGCATGCGGCATTTGGTGGCCTTTGCCCTTGAGGTGGTCGCACCATGGTTGTCCTCTGGGACAGGATACCAGACTCCTTTGCAGGCTGGACCCTCTATGGCCGGCCAACTCCTCTGGCCAATGATGTTCCCCTTAGCCGATTTCTACTATTTATTCAGCCTGCAAAGGAGCCTGTTGGAGACTAACCATATGGTGGGGTTGGCTCTCTCAGCAGAGCAGCTGGTTCCAGGGGAGATTCAGCCTGAGCAATGTGGCCAAAGAGCCGGGCTGGCCGTATTTTGGTGGTCAAACTCGAAGGAGGCTGTTTGGTGATGTCGCCTACGGTGACACGGAGTTTGATACAAAGTCAAGCCACCAAGAAAGTTCCTTCCCACAAATGGTGCAAAGACCCTTGTCCATAAGGCATAGATGTTGTAAACCACCTTAAGCTAGACTGAATGGTTTGATCTGCTCTTGCTAGGTCATAACATACAATTTGCATGATTAATGAGAAAATGTCATAATTCGGATTTCCATAGTGGCAATTGCCTGAAACTGAAAGTTTGTACTCAAGGCTGACATTCTGTGAAGCAGATTATCAACTTAAAAGTAATAATAAATGAGAAACATACTTTTGTCAGTCATAAAGGTTAACATCATTTGGCAAGGGTATGAGATCATAGTAGTCTAATTTAATATTGATTGTTTTGTATGTTTTGGATTTATATCCTTTTATTTTCTAACTTTCACTTTTGTCCTTCAGGTTTGAATCCAAAGGCGGACCATATTCTGACCTGACGTAGGAGGTCAACAGCAGGCAAAATTGGTCAAATCAAGTACACTGGTCAACTGTCAACACATTCAGTCAAGTCGCTGCAACAGGTGTCACCAAAGAAACAGTGTCCCTGAATAGACTTTCCTAGCTCACCCTCTTGCATTAGGAGACAAGTGTCAAAGGGTCTATGCCAAACTCAGTGTTTGGTTTACTGATAACATCTGTTGGCTAAATTGTTTTTATTTGAATCTCATTTTTTTTCCTGACAGACGGAGATCTCAAAGACAGATTTTTTTTAGCAAGGACTTTGTCTTTGCAAGGTCAATTTGTTGACACCTGAAATGCTGGCCTGTTGAAATTCAGAAATTTCTTTTTGCTGATTCATTTAACCCTTCTTTTTTCTTGAATTTGAACAATTCTTAGGCAGAGAGGTTAACCAAAATCCTGCACTTTCATCTTGAGTTACATCACATTTATTTTGGCACTCAGGTATGATTTTACTTTTTTAGGACCTTTGGAGATTACTTCATTTGCTTAAAGAAGAGAGATGCCATACTGTCTTTCTCATTAGCACCACATTTGTTTTCTTGCTTATGAGAGACCATTCAGTTTTTGCAAAACCCATTGATTGCAGCCTGAACTGTGTCGTTTGGACATTGAGGAACAGCTGGTAAACTGTAAAGCACCAAAATTACACCTGTTTGGGAAATATACTAAATATGACTGAAGAAAGGGGTTCTCCAACTGCTGAAAGATTGCAGAACATTGACTTGTCAACAGCTCAGTTAGGCCTCCGGGGAAACATCATGGATGCCACAGATGGTTCAAGCCATCAAACAACAACATCTGATGATGGAAATATTGTACATTTAGTATATGTAAGGAGTGAAGCGAGGGTGGTTGACAATGAATCAGTCAGTACTGATGGAGATACTCCTATAGATGAGAGAGTTCTTGATAGCCCTTGTCACCTTAGACAGCCTACCAATACTCATATGGTACAACTACAGGCACCCACTGAAGAGCAACAGGTATTGCTTGTACATGTAACTGGAAATGCTACAGAAACCAATGAAACTGGGTTAAACCCTCGTGGGACAAGTGATAAAGAGGACTCAAAATCTCATGAGCAGGAATCGAATAATCAACACCAAAATCCCAGTCAGTCAAGTATCAATACAAGGATAGAAGGGCTACTGGCCTCAAGAACATTGACCTTGATGGCCATAATAACTAACTTGAGAAGTGAAATTCGGTCTATGTTCGAGCAGATTGGAACACTTTCAATCGCAGTGTTCCATCCATTAGTGGTCGCTATCATACAGAAAAGCAATTCACTACAAGAAAGGTACACCCATGTGGACTTCGCTACACTTCTTCGAGACAACTGCACACAGGTTAGTGTGTTCATTTTGTCAAGGTTACTGTAATTTGTAAATTAGTAAAGTTGACAAGCACGACAGCTGAGAACTTCATTATTATTACCTTCGCCAAGAAGGTTATGTTTTCAGGGGCGTTCGTGTATGTGTGTGTTTGTGTGTGTGTGTGTCTGTCTGTAAACACGATAACTTGAGAAGGCCTTGATGGATTGTCTTGATACTTGGTAGGTGGGTAGGTCTTGATGAGACCTCAAAATGATTAGATTTTGGACCCCCTAGCGGCTTATTATGGTACTGCAGCTGAACTTCCGGTTTCGATATCTCATGATCTAGACATGCTATGGTATTGAAATTTAGATGGTAGGTAGCTCTTGTGCTGGGAAAGAAGTGGCGTGAGTTTAGGCCCCCTAGAGGCTTGCTCTAGAACTGCAGGGATAAATTCTTGAAAATATTCAAAAGGGGATAACTCAAGAACCGGTTGACGGATCGTCGTGATTTTTGGTATGTAGGTAGCTTACGTGATGCTTAATATAATTATGTGACAATTATGCAAATATGGATGTAATTTGCATAATTTATGGGGAAATTCTATAAATCAGCTGCATTCCATGATAGGACAATTGAAGCTTGTGACATTGGTAATTGATAACGAGAGAAACACAGGAAGATATTGATTATCTTAAAAAGAACTTAATTTGCATAATTAATGAGAAAATTTTATAATTATGTAATGATAACTGCCTGGAATTTCATACTTGTGGCATTTGAAAGTTAAATTGAGGTGAACATCATTAAACATAATTTATTGAAATCAGGACCTCATTTGCATAATTTATTAGGAAATGCTAGAATGCATTCTTTGTTAATATAAGACTTTTTGTCTTTTGGTTGAGATTATGATAAAACAATATAATTCATGAAAATTAGGTTCCTATTTCTTAAATCAGGGGGGGATAATCTAATCTAAACTTTGTCAGTCATAAAGATTAACATCATTTGGCGAAGGTATGAGATCGGGGAACTCTAGTTGATTCATAAATTTGATTTACATTTTTTGATATAACTTTTTTTTAGTCTATGTGAACTTGATTTGAATGATTTGAACAAGAAGCAGAAAATTGCATGACAGATAAGTCCCAATGATGTTAATAGTGCTCTCTGAATATCGTCTGTTCAGTACCGGTATTAGAAATGATAAAGGATTATCATTATGAATTATTTATTATTGTAACAGCTACATTGTATGTGCATGTCATCCCATTAGTCGTTTTGGGTTCACCACACCACGAAGTGGTGGTGAACCCATATTGCTTTTTCTGATGTTTCTTCTTCTTCTCCTCCTCCTGCCATTTTTTAAATGGATTCAGCTTCTTCATTTTAGGGCCTAAGGTCCTGAAATTTGGTATGGAGGTACAGTGGGCAAATACCCCTAGGCGTTTTTTAAATTATTGTGATACAGGCTTTTAGAATGGTTTTATTTGAGTTTTTAGGCTGTGTTATAGCAAATGTATTACTGTGTTAGTGTGCCGTGTTTACCACGTCTGGGCATGAGTCATCACAATGGAATGCAGGGCATCAACCAATAGGCATGCAGCTTTCCTCTATACTTCTTGCTGATTGGCTGTTGGGATTTAACTTGATTAACACCTGCACAGAGCATTTCCACCTGCACAGAGCATTTCTTGCTGATTGGCTGTTGGGATTTAACTTGATTAACACCTGCACAGAGCATTTCCATACTGACAGTATGTCTTTATTCAAGTGTTTTGGTAGGTATTTCAAGCTTTTCTGCTCCAGCATTGGAATGCGGGGCATGAACGTTTTTTTATTTTTATTTTGAAAATCAACAGTTTGCATTATGCAATTAAAAATCCTAACCAATAAAGTAGGGAATAGCTATCCAACTGTTGTTTTAGTTGTATGTTACTTCATATTATAGTTATATCAATGTAAATCATTGTTTTCCCTTGTGTTTCTCATTCTTTCCCTGCCATGTCGTAAAATGTGGTGAACCCATCGCTGTATTTGCTCCAAAGCAAATATTGGCCTTTCTAGTTGATAAAATTTTATATATAGTTGTCTAGATATTTGATACTAGGAATTAGACTAAAAGGCCCATACTAATTTGCTGGCGTCATTGTATGTCAGACCATATTGTAATCATGGGTACCTGTATGCAAAAATGTATCATATCTGATAATATAGAGCTTGTCATTTATGCAAACATAGTGTAACTGCAATAAAAAGGAATGGTATCATTTCTATAGAAACTTTGCCTTGCAAAGTTGGGAATTATTGTTGCCTGTACAGTCATTATAACAGAGAGTGAAACTGCATGAAGGTTCTAGACTTATTACATGCAGACTAATCTCATAACTCCCACATGGGGTTTCCAAGTTCCTCTTTCCCACACTCTGAAAACAAACATGCATCAATGACTGTTTCTAAAGAAACAGCATGTGATCATGATGAGTTGCATATATGTGTAAATAAGTTTCTTATGGTTTGTCCTGAGTGAGCACAAAAATTCAACTAATAGTAATAGGCCTTTAGATCTGATATTGGCCAGATTCACATTTATAGCCCTGTATTACTGTACATGATTTCATGTTTAGTTTCTCTGGAGACATGAAGGATTTTACAAGTCAATATTTTCTATAGGTGGCAGATGCAAGTATAGTTTGTATGGAAACAATATTATCTCTCTTACAATATACACTATCTATCAACAGAGACCACAGAAAGTCCTGGACCTCCTTGCCGCAGTGACAATATTGGAGAAATATGCACGAAATCTCCTCAAACCTGTCAGACCTGCATTTTGGAGGATTGTGAAATTTTCCAATGGTATTTTCAAGACAAAAGTAGATATCATTCAGGTGAGTCAAACATTACTGCTATAGTCTTAACCCAGTGGGGAATATTTTGCTTTTAACTGCTTTTAATCTCATGAACATGTTGCTTCTTTGCGTGTTGTTGTTAAAAATTGTGTTTCTGGTTTTAAACAACGACTATATCCATGTACGCCTATATAAAAGATAAAGCTTCTGTTTGCTGAGAATTTGTTTGAATTAACACCTGTTATAATATTGAATCAGACAGAATTGTACTTTTGGCTAATTATAAATTATTTACATTTATAATGTTTCCAGGGCTCAAGGCCAGTTCTACAGAAGCTAGGCTATACCATCTGTGCACAGGATGGACTGGCCTTCCCCGACGACCAGCCAGAACCAGATGTGGTCAGAGTGGTGGAGATCGCAGCAGACCTGATTCAGGCACGACTAGAACTGGAAATGATCATATGCGGCACGCATCCAGAACCAGACACGATGTATATATTCATTCCAAGGGAAATATTTCAGCAGGCTGAACAACTCGCTAAAGAACAGTACTATCAAAGGCAGAGAGAACAGGCTAGCCTGGCTTACTCTGTGGAATCAAAAGTAGGTATTCAAGGATTTCTCCAAGATATGTTTAGCACATATGTCCAATACGTATTTTGATATGCCCATGCATCAAGACCTCTGATGGGCCAGAATCAAAACTTTTAACCAATCATAGGTGGACCTGGCAGTTGATTGGTTGTAGCATGTAACCATTGAAACTTTAATGCAATAGGATGCTATTTCCAGTGTTCAGAACCAAAATGAGTATAATGTTTAAATGCCCAAGGTAAGTTTTGACTGTCAACAATCAAGACTCACTCAGTTAAACTGTAATCCACATATTGCTTTCAGTACCCTTTTTTTCAGGAACTGCAAGTTTATACAAAAGCATACTGTATGTGTACTGTAAGTGTACCTTCTTGTTTGCCCATAGAAACATTCACTATTTTAAGGAAACAATAATTAACAGCCGTACTGCTATGATATGAGAACATGGTTTCACACAGAACACAGTTTTAAGATATTGCAATGACATCCTTTCAGGCTCCAGAACTTCAAGTCACTGCAGAGACAGAGTCTAGTGCAGCTTCCCCTGGGTTTTCTAAAGACCAGCTGCTGCAGAGTGCACCACTGGCAGAACAGCAAATGCAACTACAAAGCCAGGAACAACAGCTTGGTAAGTTTTGAAAACATCTGTTGCCTATTTTCCTTGCAGATGAAATGGAGAGTATGGATGCTATGGAGAGTATGTGATAAATTTTTAAAAGACTTCTTTATGGATTCTCTGAATAGTATGTCTTAAATTTTTTACTTGTACTTCTATCAGTGACAAAAGTTGGGCTAATAGTGGAAATGTAGATTGGAGAAGGAATGAGAATAGATGTTTAATTCTATCCTTTTGTGTATGTCATTTTCCCTGCTTATGTAAGAGTATTAGGGGATTAAGGTTGCTAATGTGTTTGATGACAACTTTGCTTTTAGGTTGTCCATCAACTGATACTATCAGCTGCATTTTATATTATAGCTGTGGCCCCTGCAATAGCGGCTGAAGTCATGTACTGTAAAGTGTGTGAAGAACCAGCCTCAGAGTATTGCAGAAGTTGTGAAGCGGCCTACTGCCCTACTTGCGATGCTCAGCTTCACAAGCACAAGACCAGAAGGTCCCATGTCCGAGTACCCATTGACAAGATGCACGAACCGCCGGGCGAACAGGAGTCACAAGTACCAGTAAACCAGCATCGGTCCCTGCCATTACGGTCAAGTCCATCACAGATATCCCCTGACAAGGTGGCTACAGTGACTCCTAATGTACTGTCGGGCGTATCCCTTGGTGGACAGCCCTTGGATGTGGCATCTGGTGTTAAACCCAGTCAGTCTCTGAGTCCACAGCCTGCTAGGGCAGCGGCTATCACACCTGTAGCAGCACCACAAGCCCATGCAGGCCCTCAGATACCAGATCTCAGCAGAAGGGTGATGAAGTTTGAGATCGAGATTGCGAAGTACAGAGTTGGGATCGAAGAAATAAACGAGAGGCAGAGCAAGTTCTCAGAGGCGACTCCCGAGTTTGTGGAGTTAGAGAAGAAGAGGCAAAATCTGCTGAAGCAAAAAGCGATGGTTGAGGAAGCCCTGAGACAACTCACTGGTACAGAAAGGAGAATGGAGAGACAGCAACAACAACAGCAACAGCAACAAGCATACATGGGCCAGTCCCAGAGAGCTGATGCACAACATGGAGCAATGCCCACAGCCTTGCCTCAAGGAACATATCAGGCTGTGAACTTTGCTCAAGGTCAAGGTCATTTTGTCCAGCCTCAAGGTCAACATCCTCACCCCCAACAGCAGCAGTGGCAGAACTTTGCTGGCCCTCAGAACATGGCAGCAATGTGGGGACAACAGCAGGCTCCCATAAGGCAACCATACACGCTACAATACAGACATCCACCACAGGAGTTTGAAGCCCCATCTAGGCCGCAGATGTCTTTCTCTGAAATCACTTGCACTCGCTGTAGACACTCCAATCCGATTGTCAACATCACCTGTGGGGTCTGCAATGCCAAGCTGCCTTTGATTGACAGCAGACTGATGCAGCACGACTCCAGGTTCTTACCCGAGCCAAGACCATCCATGAGGGAGCTTGGCTTACCAGAAGTGCTGAAGCCACCCCCTTCCATGGAATGGAAGCCTTCACAGAGTCCCAAGGTCCCAGCAACAGCAGCAGCTAGTCAGAAGTCTGAGCAAAGACCCTACAGAGCTGATGCTGTGCCCTTTCAGAAGGCAGAAGATATCATAAGGAGACCTCCCGTGGAACAGCCTACAGCAGGGTTGGGACAGGCCAATATTGGACAGACTGCTGCAGCTAGTAATAAGGAATCCCACAGCCAGGGGCAGAATGCTGAATCTCTTACAGCCAAGTCACAAGTCATCAAACCAGCATCACCACCATTGGTATCATCTCAGAGCTCTGCTGCAAAGCCTCTTTCACCCAGCAAGTCAAAAGGGTACACCCAGAAATGGCACTGTGAGGCATGCACATTTATCAATGAGCGAGATACCAGGATTTGTGCCATGTGCAACAAGACGAGTGACAACCCACAGTTCATAAAAGGGACAGAAGAACAGATACAGGATGTGTCAGTCACTGGAGAGGCTATCACAAATGTAGAAGAATCTCTATCACAGCTGAATCTGGAGAGAGGTGTACCTGGGAAGAGGCCAGAGACGATGGGTGGTGACTTGACACCAGTGGATACACCTGCGATGTTGCCTGGAAAAGCTGAATCTAGAGTTCCTGGTGGGACTATCTCTGAGATCCAGGATCAGGTTAGAATTCATCTGTGGACACATTGTCATGACGTTCCACTTTTCTTCTGTTGGTAATTTAAGCAGTTTTGGTGAATGTTTACTTCACTTTGACTTGAAGATGGATGAAGGAATATTTTTTTTTTGACAAGTACTAGTAATTTGTTGTGTAAGGTTGTTTATCTACATTTGGAGCATGCCCCTTAGGATTGTGGCGCCTCTGGTGCAAATGGGTTATGCCTTATACCTTTCTCCCTTGATATGATCACTTACTCACTCACTCACTGTCTGGTTTATCGTCTGTTGTTCCCCGTCTTCCGAGGGTTAGACGTGCTTGCACTGCACAACTGAGACTTGATGGCAGCTCGCCACTTGCCCCTATCCTGTGGGTTGATGTTGTGTTAGTTCAAACAAAATTGAGATGACAGAAAAAATATTTGAAGCAGGCTGGAACACTGGTGCGAGGTATCATGTTTTGTAATTGTATTTCTAGATTTGGAGGGAGAAGCAGCTTGCTAAGAAGGAGGATGAGGAGCGTCAGAGAGCGTCCCTGTCCCCTGCACCACTCATGTCCAGACCACCAGACACTGCAGCACAGGGGGTCACTGACATACCTGACTCACCCATGGCTGAAAGACAGCCAGGTAACAGTTTTCTTATTGTTGTGGAACCTATAAACAGGGAGGCGGAGGTGGCATTGTATTGACGTTATTACAAACAGGATTCCATAACAAAATTGCTGTATTTTGCAAACAAAATTTGAAAGTAAGCATGGATGGTTGTTACCAAGAATACAGACAGTTAGTCAATGTGACATTATTTCCATCCTTTTCAGACAGATGCTCCGTTAGATTCATTCTTAATTTTTCAGGTTATTTTCACTCATTGTCTCATTATTTTCTGTTGTTAGACCTGTCATCTTTGGGTCAGCAAGGAGAGGTGGAAAGGAGACCCATGAACATCCGGGAACTACAGGAAAGGAAAAGACAAGAAGACATGAGGACAGAGGGACTACAGATGATCAAATGGTTCAGGGTATGTTCATTCTCATTAGTACTACATTCATTCATTGTCTTGAATAGCTCAACGTTAATTTAAATTGAACAATACTCAGTAGTCAGTTGTCAGATATTCTAAATTTGCTGCATTTTCTGCTTATCAGATACTACTTTAAACCACGATTTTTTACTTTTACATGTTTATTTGTTCGAATGTTGTGCCCGTGCACAAGAAAGGAGGCAAGCAGATCAAGGAAAACTACAGACCCATATCCCTCCTATGTTGTGTGTCAAAGGTCTTTGAAAGAATAGTCCATAATCAACTGTCCTCATACTTCCACAGTAACAAGCTTCTCACTGACCGTAATGCCGGGTTCGCCTTGGGAGATTCCACCGTTAATTCATTGACCTATTTAGTCCACAAAATTCATCAAGCACTTGACCAAGGCCTCGAAACCCGTGCAGTTTTTCTTGACATATCTAAAGCTTTTGATAAGGTTTGGCATGGGGGATTAATCTTTAAGTTGCGACAACTAGGAGTTACTGGGTCTCTCTTATTATGGATTGAATCCTACCTGAGCGATCGTAAACAGCGAGTTGTTATAAACGGGATGTGCTCTGAATGGCTATCAATTGATGCAGGTGTTCCACAAGGGTCACTTCTCGGCCCATTGCTCTTTCTTGTATTTATAAATGACCTTGTTGACAACCTACGAACAGATTCCCGTCTTTTTGCTGATGACACCGCACTGTTAGATCATGGATCCCGTTGTCTCAGCGAACGGACTGAATCATGATCTCAGTGTAGTGTCAGACTGGTCAGACCAGTGGCTTGTAACATTCAATCCCGGCAAAACAGAACTGATGACCTTTTCCTCTAAAAGAAGAAAGGTTCTTCACCCACCACTATACTTTAGAGGTGTTCAGCTGACTGAAACTCCCTCTCACCAGCACCTTGGCTTACATCTCACTCCAAATTTATCATGGTCACTCCACGTGTCAACTCTGGTGACGAAAGCAATGAAGCGAGTTAACTTGTTGACAAGAATATCAAATTTTGTGCCACGGAAAACGCTTGAAATCCTGCACAAAGCCATGATACGTCCTTTACTTGAGTACGCCAATGTTGCCTGGTGTGGTGTTCTTATGAAGGATTCAGACCTCCTTGAGTCAGTCCAGGTGTCCGCTGCCCGGGCTTGCACAGGCACAATGAGAGGGACGAATCACCACCGCATTCTATGTGACGTCGGTTGGGAAACACTTGCCAACAGACACGAAAAGTTCAAACTTGTTCACTTTTATAAAATGGCCAATGGCTTAGTTCCCAAATATCTACAAGACTTGGTTCCCCCACTTATCCGTGATTCCACCCCTTATGGCCTGCGTACTGACCAGAATTATCTCTCTTTTACCCTCAAAACTGAAAAGTACAAAAAATCTTTCTTGCCTTCTGCTGTTTTCTCTTGGAACAAGTTACCCCAGACCGCCAAAGAATCCCCATCCATTCGTGCATTCAAAAATGAATTAGAGTCTTGCTTTGATAGCATGCCTAGACATCCTCACTACTCTCACGGCCACGGACACCATGTGACTCACCTTACCAGACTCAGGCTTGGTTTCAGCCAGCTGAACTACCACCTATTCCAGCATCACTGTATCAGTAGTCCCGAGTGCAAATGTGGGCATCCGAATGAGACACCAGAACACTATTTATTACACTGCAAATGTTATAATACTAAAAGGACCAAAATGTTGTTATCCATATCTTGCCTTCATCTTGAAAACATACTTCCTTCCGACCCACTCAACGTAAACGACGCCACATTATGTACTTTACTTCTTACAGGTAGCCCCTCCCTCCCATACCCTACCAACTGCCGTATCTTTGATACTGTAAGTCCATTTTTGATTACGAAATCTTTAAGTTCACGGTTTTCACGAAGACGCTCTTCTCGTGAACTCACCTCCTCGCGAACCCATTCCGTACGTACCACCCCCCTCCCCCAAACATCGTGCGTCTCAACTCTATACTAACAACTTCTACATTACGTACTAGTAAATGACAAGACTCAACGAATAACAGCAGACTTCTTTTCAGAATCAAATAAACTTTATTCAATGAGCATATGGTTCACGGAGTCATTATTTTGTTACTAGTAATACAAGTGTTTCTTGCGAAGAACGGTAAAACTAAAAGTTTACAAAGCCGACTAGACAACATCAGTTTTAACAAGAACGCTAGTTCGGCGATAACGTAGCGGTGAACAGCTGTAAACATGTGCAACATCGTACATACGGAATTTTACAACATACATCGGTAAAAAGTTGTGGTCGTGTACAAGCCACGTAAAGCAGAATTATTTACGGTACGGTAAATCGAAAAATAGAACCAAGCGGGATAGCGTGGGTCTTTGTCTATACCTCGAGAGATCAAACTACACGAGTTCAACGTTAGTCACCAAAGCTACACGCAAGAAAAATCATTTCACAAGATTTCCATACATCCCAAGAAAATTTACGCTTCATATACAACATTAACAGGTATTTTTAGGGAAGAATTGCACGAAAATCTACCGCCGAGTAACCGCCGAGCCGATCGCCAAATCACAAGAAATCCAACATGGCGGCATTTGTTTACATAGCGCGTTGTCTAATGGTCTAAGTTTGCTTGATATTTTTTTATTTTTTTTTTACAACTTGTTGAATCAACATGGTTTTAAACGTTCCCAAACAGCAAATTTATAGAACAGTGCTCTAAAATTTCATAACTAAAGATGATTTACGCGAGGACTACTGTGCAGAAGTTGGCAACATTTGCGAGTCGAAAGTTCAAACATGGCGGCGGCTTTGTTTTTACTCACGCGCCCGTCGGCTCACAGCGGCTCAGATCCCTGTGCGGTCCCATCCCCTGGCGATGCCCATGTTGTTGGCGATACTGTCCAGTGCACCCAGGACCCAGTTTGCATGGATGGGCTTCAGTTTGGACAGTGTCATGTCCACGGAACCATGTTCTAACCGCGCGTACCTCGCATGTACCTCACGCGGAAAAAAAATTATTGACTGTCGGTAAATTTGCAGACATGTAACGCCTTGTTAAAAATTACCGACTCGCGAAGTCAGAGACCTCGTGAACTCCTAAATTGCTCCATCTCGTGAAATAAAGCATTCGTGAACATAACTGGACTTACAGTATTGTGTTTAACTATATCCACCACTCTGGAAGATTTGACCAATCTCAATAATGTTATGCTAGGTATTGGTGCGCCAGCCACTTTCATTTTATGTTTATGTTATACTTTATGTCATCTTTATGTTACATTTGTATTATGTTTTATGAGCAGCGGATTTACATAAGCACAACAAGTGCTTCCTATCCAATGCTCAAAAATCCATGTGAATAAAATAAAAAATATTTGCAGTTTTCGTGGTCACTTCTGTACCATGGACTTATCATTACTGTGAACAAATAATTTACTGACTTTCTTTTTGCTGCATGCACCTGATGCCACCACAAACATATAGTTCCGCGAACATGTCCATTTTTCTCAGGACTTTTGCTACCATGAACTTAAAGTGATTTACAGTTTTCTGTCTGATTGGTAGTATGTTATAAGATAGTAATGTATTCTGTCTGTGTACCTTGTACAGGCAGCAGAGAATGCAGGGTTTCTCCCAGAAGAGGTGCAAGCAGCTCTGCTCCACTGTGAAAACGGCGACCCTGTACAGTGGCTAAAGGAGAACTGGCAGGGACTCGTGGCCAGCATTGCAACACAAGCGACAGAGGAATCAAAGAAATTGAAGACAAACATAGTCGGAGTCATCACCACACAGGAAGCAGCGGAAGCTCTCAGGAAACAGGAAGGAGACATTGCCAAATCTATCAAGGAGTGCATCGACTGCAGACGGAAAAAGGTATTACATAATCCTTTCACACTGAGTAAAAAGAAAACTTGGTGCACGTCTCTTTAGAAAAACAGTCTAACATGTTACTATAGGCTAAATTCTCTTGAATATCTGCATTGAAAGCATCACTGTTTGTTAGCATGAAAGTTCCATCTGTGTTGGTATAATACATAATGACAAAAAGGCTAAACTTTGTGTCCAAATGTTTGTGTTCCAGTTCATCTATGTGATGGAGTTCCAGGAGTTTGAGCAGGATCAGGTGCTGGCGGCTCTACAGGAGAAATGTGGTGACGCGGAGAAGGCCATCCAGGCCATACAACTGGAACAACTGAGACCATTCGAGGAGCACATCTGGAAAGAGGACGAAAACCGCAACCGAGTCGAGTTGAAGCCAGGGGACTTTGAGGTACGTTAGAGTCTTATCTCTGTCATTGTTTTTTGCGTTACTTTTATATTTGCGGTTTTCTTGATCACTTCTGTACTGCAAACTTATCATTATTATGAAAAAATAATTTGCCTTCTTTCTTTTTTTGCACCGGTCGAATGTATAGTTACGCAAACATTTCCTTTTTTCTCAGACTCTAAACTTTTGCTACCATGAACTTAAAGTGATTTACAGTAGCAGTTTCGTTTAGAAATAATTTGGGATAACAGCAAAAAGATTTTTTGTAACCCCTCCCTCATCTTATGAAATGGAATATTCCTTGATTATATCAACTAAAACTGCACTGTTTTTTTTTGTTTATTTCAGAGAAATGTAAGAATGCTGTTATGTCAGTTCAACCTCCCATCTTGGGGCAGGGCTGAACAGGCAGTGAAGTTGATTGAGAGTGGAGAGTACGATGAGTATGACTTTGAGGACATCATCGAGGCTGTGAGATCCTGCCAGGGTCTGGAGTCCTGTAAGAAGTACCTACAACACGAGTGTCAGGTCTGCACGGACGTGCTGCCACAACATAAGGTTAGTTCCTGGTCACAATGTTTTGTATATTAACTGAAAGGAACCTAATGCAATTGTCTTGTTTGAGCCAATATTCTATGTGTTTATTTTTTAATTACTAGAATTCATTCTGGCGTTATAGATATGGTGGTTGAGTAAATGATCTGTCAATTTGCTTATCATGTTTACAAAGAAGCCATGAAAAATATATGACATAAATGTACTGTAATCATCATTTCAGGGTGTAATCACTTCTAGGGAGGAACCCCTCCCTTGACTGACTCCTGTCTTTTTTTAGTCTCGCAGTTCATAGCAATGTAGGGCCCATATGTTGTAGTCTGGTTACCAAGCTTTTATCATCTCTGCAAATAGCATAAAACTTTGGAGCCAAAGTAAGTTTGGTAACCAGGCTACAGGTGTTCAACTGTAACATTTGAAAAAATTATTTTACATGTACCTTGGTCATTTGTCATCCATCTCTATTATGAATGTTCATTATATACAATCTTCTAATGAAAATATCAATCCCCCCCCCCTCCTCCAGCTGCTGGTACTGACCCACTGTAGCTGTGAAGTCTGTGTGTCCTGTATGAAACAGTACTTCACCATCACCATCAGGGACAAGAACATCAAGGACATGGTCTGTCCTGTCTGTAGTCAACCTGACCTCGACGATGATGAAGATGCAGAATCTGAGTTCTTCAACCTCCTTGACATAATGGTGGGAATATTGTACATCTCTCAGGCTGTGCATTTTTTCTTGTTTCCTGATAATAAGAGATGATGAGTGTAAGTGTGGTTGATTACAAAAGAAGCCGCACAAAATGTGTCTTTATGGTATAGATTTAAGTGACAAGTATTTGACTTATGTGATAATTGATAAGTTGATAAGTTCTCAGCTGTTATTTATAAAGTTGCTCATTGTCTTCAAATTTTTTCCTGTTGCAGCTGAAGTCAATCTTGGAAGCACCAGTCCATGGACTCTTCCAGCAGAAATTGCGAGATAGGACACTGATGAAACTTCCTAACTTCAGATGGTGCTCACAGGTAAGTTCACTAATCACTTGTAGAGTATTAGAATGAGTGAATTCAATCTTTATTCTGTCACAAAATAGTATTGAAGTCAATTGATTTTGAAAGTGGCCTCACTGTACGGATAATAATTGAGCTGTACATGTATGTTTGTTGCTCTATTAAAGGTTTTAACAATGACTTTGTTCTTCACATGCAGTGCTCATCAGGGATGATCAATGATCAACCAGATAGGAGGCTGAAAATGGTGTGTGCGGATTGTGGATTTATAACCTGTTACAAGTGCAAGAAGCCTGTAAGTACCATTGTTTTGTTCTGTGGTCTGTGTCTTTATCTGCAGAATAATTCAGCAGAAATGAAAGTGAGATAACTTTGCGAAGCATGTCAGGTTTAGCAGTATTTGTTGATTATTTTGCAGTGGGAAGACCAACATGAGAACATATCATGTGAGCAGTTCCAGGCCTGGAAGGAACTAAATGATCCCCAGTTCCAAGCTGCTGGATTAGCTGCTATATTGAATGAAAGTGGCATTGGTGAGTAAAAGCATCACCCTTTTCACCTTAAACAGAGAATATTATATGGTACTGAAAACAATGGCCATTATACTGAAGATGTCTAATTGTTGGACAGGTTTCTTTTTCGCTTTAAATTGTCCTATGTAATATATCTACTGCTATTTGATATGATGGTCACTTTTTTCTAATGCAGACTGTCCCAACTGCAAGTTCCGGTATGCTCTGGCTAAAGGAGGTTGCATGCACTTTCAGTGCGTCCAATGTAAACATGAGTTCTGTTCTGGATGCTACAACACCTTCAGACATGTAAGTAGCTTGCAGTGAACATTCCAGATTCTTCAAACTGAGACAGCAGGTTTTTGGAACATTATTTATCATATACATGCACTGATGCACATGTATATGTATATGTATACAGGATGTCGTTTGTCAAAGGTTTTATCTCATTTACCAACAAAATGTCTCCAGTATAAATTATAGAATTTAACATTTTTCTTTTAAAGTAAGATTACTTACAGTACATCATGTATCTCTGTCAATACAGAACTGCACAAGGTTTGCCTCCTGTGCACGTAAAGGCCTCCACGCTCACCACCCAAGAGACTGTCTGTTTTACATGAGAGACAGAGACCCAGCACAGTTACAGCAACTGCTGAATGTGAGTTGACTCTCTCTTAGAACCGGTCATTCGGCAGTGCAAGTCTTCAGTTCAATGATTATTACTGCCTAGTATAAAGGATGACAAGAACTTGACAACAAAAGTTCATAGAAGCTGAAAATAGAAGCCAAAAATCAATACTTGATCCTGATATACATCACAATGCAATGTGAGTTTTAATCAATATAGTAAAAGCTAGCTAATATTTGGTATACCGGTTGTCATCTCATTGTTTGCATGTTTGTCATTACTGTGTATTCTCACACCTTTGTAGTCTATGTTGTACATGAAGGCCCTTCTTGTTTTTGTTTTATATATACATGTATAGCCCTCTGCATCTTTCATACCTATCCCTGTGTATTTAATTACACCATAAAATTTTTTTATTAATTTGTACCACTTAACTCAGTTCAAATATTTGCATGGCACTTAGTTTTAGACAGCGCTTATAATTTATCATAAATTGCAAACATTGGATAAAAGGAATGTTGTTAGCCTTATCAAGACTGCCACCGGAAGAGTTTTTTTAGACTGTTTGCATAGTACATCAAAGGCACCGGTGTACGTGCCACAATTTTTTTATGTACATTTGTTGCCATTGTCCCTTTTAACCTACGAACTTCAGAATCTGTACTATTGTAAATATTGATTTCCATTAATCAATAGGTCTAGGGTTATTGTGATAAAGTAATCCAAGAGGCATACAGATCTCATTGGTCATACATTGTAATGTAAGTCAGGTCACGCATGATCAGACACGTCAGAACTTGCCTTGTCTTGCCATACCTTACTGTGGACCAAACAAACACTTTACTTCTTTGGTTTCACAGCAACAAATCTTGTTAAGCACCAACAAGTTCCGTTTGTATGGAAAGCTTTATACTAAAAGCGACATAAAATATATAAATATCCACCATACAAGAACTTAGTCTGTGAATGGGGGAACTGAGCAAAAGCTGAACAAACTGATCAGCTCAAAAGCCTAGCAATGGCTAACTAGAACAAATTCAAATTTTTATGGAGTCCAGTAAAAAGATGGAAGGTTTCAAAATGACTTATTAAATGATTTTGCTTGTTTATTTTGAAAAGTTGTAACAGTTGGATTAGGAATCCCGAAGCCTTGTATCAGAGTCTTCAACTTGAGAGGTGAAAAAATCAACCCTATAATGAACCATCCCCATTACATGGTGCCTGAGCTACCAAAGACCAAGTAATGATGACTCAAGGTTTTCTTGTTCTTACCTCACAGGATAACGATGTGGAGTTTGACACAGACCCGCCCCCTGCCTCACAACAAGCTGAGAATGCTGAAAATCCACCAGGTACATGTAATGCCACCAATCACTAGACACGGCTGAAGGAAATTGTAGTTCTTAATGATTTGAAGGGTGGAGAAAATAAGATATACACATATGATACACATGTTTGTGTATATTACGCACTGTTGTGGAAATGATTACCTATATACAAATGGAGTACATGTAATTGAATTTTTCCTGTTTCTTTTGTAGCAATGCAAAGTATTTTTTGCACAGGTACCTGTAGTGCATTTTTGTAGATGAGTTCCGACTAAATCTTGCAGAACATGCCCAATGACAATATATAGTAACATTACTTGTTGCATTCATGGGCACTACATGACCTTCAGCATGCAACGGCAAAGCAGGGATGCGTGGAAGGGCAGCTTTGCACTTGAGTGTGTTTTGTGAAAACAGATGCAGATGTTACTCTTTTATGCAAGCAGGTTTTTTCCCCCAGGGTTATTTGTTGGTTAAGGTTTCAGTTCCTCTTTTTGTGTTTAGTAATTCAACTCTGTTAGCTATTCTTAACCCAGTTGGAATGTACCAGACACATTTGCAAGATTAGGGAGGTTTCACTAACAGTCATTTTGTACACATTTTGCATAAAATCCATAGGTGTTCAACTCTGTACACTTTACATTCCGTCACCGAATTCACCTTCTTAAGTCTTTATCTGACAAAGGTTGAGGGGGAATTCCCTAAAAAAATCCCTCTTTATTGTTCAGTAGTGAATGGATGCTGTCATGACATTGAATGCATGGGTTCTGTTTTTAATTGCATTCTACCAGTGCTATAGCAACCACATTCTACTCACAATACAGGCAGTATTACATTTTGTTTGCAATGTCACTTCAGTTGCAAACAATAACCCTAAGCCTTTGTTCAGGTACAGATCCTTTAAGACTCTGCTACAAAAGAAAGTTTATTTTTGTGCATGGACCTGTTGGTACAAGTGTTCAAATATTCATTTCATTTATCAGGTATGCTACATGCCTACCTGCAATTATGTTACAGAACATAAAAAATTCTATCATCATGATTTTCCAGTATGCATGATTTATTGATACTGACCAGGGCTCGAAATACTGGGCGCATGTGCACCTTAGCGCACCCAAATTTGGAGCTGTGCACCCAATTTTTTTCTGTGATTGCACCCAAATATTTTCGTAGTTTTACGTATGTAAAGATCATGTTAGATGTATAGTGGTGTACAAAATATTCTTTACATCTAAGTGTCAGAAAAATAATCAAATCATTGTTGTAGTACATACTTTTCTTTGGAAATGAAACATAATTAGTTATTGCTGACATTCTAGTTATTCTATTTTATATGGTGCAATAAAAAAAAATTGTGCACCTAATTTTTTTTAAGTTGGGGTGCACCAGTGCACCTAATCCCAAAAATGAATTTCCAGCCCTACTGACCCAAATGGTATTTGGTTGTTTTCTCCTTTAACATACATGTATGAGAGGTACATGTATCATGTTTCCCTACTAAGTAATATTTTCCATTACTCATGCAATGACATGATTCATAGTCAATGTTCACATTGAGTCAAATCTTAAACAAATTATAATCAATGACAATATACAATGTGCATTCACTAACTTATTTGCTCAAGATTCTTACTCCTATAGGCAACTGCTGGAAAAACCATATAGATATTCAAATTTGCTTTTGTTGTCTTTACTGCTAACACTGTCTTCATATTCTGTCAGCATCTCTGGAAACAATGTGTTGATTGTCAAAGTTGCAGGACGGGTGTAATATTACTCATACCAGGGATTCCCAAGTTTGAAACAGGATGTTTTGGCCTGTTTGGGCCTGTTTGCCTGTTTGAGTGGAGAGAACAGTCTTGACGTGACCACAGGCATTTTCTCTGCATAAAGGAGTGGTTATTTGAACCTGACTCAGAGTGATTTGCACTACACTGGTTCCATGCAAATGTTTTGTTGATGAGTCATACAGGAGAAGTGGCTCAAGAGCCACCTAGTGACTCAATTTAGCACTGCAGTACAGTGAACAGACAAGTATTGTAAAGAAGTACTCCTAATTTAATGTGTATGACTATGACACTTAAACTCATTCAACTCAATGATTTGAATGGTACATGATGTATACAATAATATATTATTTGATACATGTATTGAAAAGAAATTGTTTTGATATTTGGCTGTCATCTCTTGCAGGGGCCTTATGAAATAATTTCAACATTGTCAAAGATAATATTTTCAAAGATTAGGGGGGTATGTTTAAATGAACTACAACTGTACATGTATACTTGACTGTCATATGATCGTACACAGTGCCAGTTGATTGCTAACAAAATTAGTGGAAATTTTGTCTGGTGATTGCATTCAAGCATGCGTTCTTCTTCTAAGTGTAAGTATTATTTTGCTGCTTAATACTTTTTGTTGACTAAACTATAGTGTGACAGCAGTTAAATTCTAGAATTCATACCAATGTTTCTGCATTTCAGTTGGTGGAAATCGGTGCCAAGTCATGGAGCAAAAGGAAACCAATGACGGCCTACGAGATGACCACTGCGGCCGAGAGGCCCCCCCTGGGTATGCAGGACTCTGCAGGTGCACATTTAATATTCCCACATCAGATGTTCAGTGAAAAATATATACTTCATAAATTTGGAAATGATAATGACTAATGTGGCAATCAGATGCTAACAAAAGTAGTGGAATTTGTCTGTATTGGTCACTCTCAATCATACATTTTTGCCGTAAGTTTAATGCAAATTGTGTTATTCGATACAGTTGTTGCTGTATTATTCATAATCAGTGATGGCAGGCTAAAGTACAACGAGTCAGGATAGAACAGAAGTCTGATTTTAAGATATAACGTTACAATCTTTTTCAATGTCTCCTGTACACAGACTCCACTACAATGAGTACCTTGTTGGACTGATAAACACCCACAAGATAGACCCTGTAGTAATCATGGACACTGATGAGCTCAGAGCTCTTCTTCTGAGAGAAGAACGACAGGTGCCCCAACCACAGAGGAGGGAGGGGGAGAGGGCCTTCTGGCAGAGACTGGTTCAGGTGACTATGTCTACATTACAAGACTTTTAGATGTGTAAAAAGATGCATAGCAGAGGTTGGTGGACAGATCACGATTAGAAGCATAATGGTAGATTGATCAATGAACCTTCACAAAAATTAAGTGTCAAAGGTTTTAAAACAGTAATGTGTGAAGACCTCTGCGAGCTTGTGTTTGCGAATTCCGTATGGAATACACAATTCAGACATACATGTACTTGGCTGCAATGTATTTTATTAAATGAACCATTCATTCATTCAAACTAGCTTCATTAGAGTGAGGTGGCTCTTTCACTTTGCATATGGCATTTGTTTTTTTGGTTGATTTAATAGTAAGGCCTCCAATATGGATTCCTTGAAATAAGTGAATGTAATGCACTTGTACAAAGTTACATCAATGTCATTCCTTCCTATTTTGTTATATTAGGAGGTGAAGGAGAAGTTGCCCCTACCGTCCCACACCTAAACGGCTGTGACGATTGGGGGGCAAAGTCCGACTGCCACCTCCCTGTGGTGCCTCCTGGGTAATGCCAACGGCAGTGGCAATGTATTTACTGACGTTGATCACTATAAACCCTTGGAAAATCAGTTGGACCGAGCCGAAGAAGACAATCTATCAGAAATGGATCAATAATTTCCATATGTGAATATTAGCATTTACTGAAACGCTTCAAGTCAAGGAACCCTTATGAACTGATAAGGGAGCTAAGTTGACTACTTTCTTCACCAACAATATTGCTTAGAGCACATGTATGGATGAACAAAATATATGAATTAAACACTGGATTATGAAGACTTTCTCCTTCCTTCAAAACCTGCAGTGAAGAGACATTCTGCAGTTATCCAGGACTCACAAGGATTTGTCATTAGTAGATGGGAGACGATTGACAAGACATTGCCCATCTTAAGGAAACATATGTCATGCACCATTGGGAGATGAGTTACTAGACACTGGGTTGTGAAAGGACTTTCTCCTTCCTTCAAAACCTGCAATGACGAGACATTCTGCAGTTATCCAGGAAGGTTTGTCATCAGACTCACAAGGATTCGTCATCAGTAGATGGGAGATGATTGACAAGATATCGCCCATCTTGAGGAAACATGTCATGCACCATTGGAAGATGAGAGTTTTGTGCATTGCTCAATGAAGCTCAACTGGTGACAAGATTCTATGGATTCTTTCAACAGATGTCTGAAAGAGTTGAGCAAATTGTTCATTGATGCTGAGAAGGCTCATCAGGATTGGTGGATTCCTCAGACCAGTGGATGACTGAAAGCCTCACTGTGCATCATGCGTTGTTTACCTGATGATGACCAAAAGAACTGAACAGCACTTTAACCACAATAAAAAATACACAAAAAATGTAGCTGTGTACTTAAGTATTATTATGTGTGAAAAGTGACAACCAAATAGATAGTGTTTATATGTAATGACTTTATTGTATTGCTGAATGTTGAACTGGAGATGGGGGGAAAACACTGAAAAAAAGTTAAAAATGGACAATATGCCAAAAAAAAGTAGAAATGTGTAGAAATTTACTCTTTATAACCTCTTTGTTGTTGTTGTAGCTGTTGTTGTTTCACACCTCAAGTTACTGTAAATGTTATTAAGGGAATACATACATGTATATACCAGTGTAAATGTAGTATGAAAGAACACTAAATATAAACATTTAGAAGAAGTTTGAAAAACGGTAAAAAAAATAATAGTTACTACAGCTGATTCAACTTTGTTTAAAAGAGTTTTTTGGGGCACTGTACACTACTGTTAACTGCCCATATTCTGTTCCAACAGTTTATTATGACTCATAAGGATTCATGTTTAGTACTGATTGTATTTCAAAGTTGGTAGAAGTTTACATTTCACAAGTTACTATTGTCAAACTGAGAGGGTGTACATATATGTTAGCTTCTGAGCATTTACTAAAAAGAATGGTGCTGTTTATGTACCAGCATGTACATGTATGTGGAAAGTTAGAAAAAAAGACTTAAACCCAACGTGTGCATTAATGAAGCTATTGTATGTCATAGTTAACATTAGTATGATGATCATAACATCTATGAAGGTTAGACAACCAGGAAATGAGATACACAAGAAAAAATTTTGTCATTCAAGCAACTGGATAGATTTTGAATCAGATGTTTCAAGCAGCATCCGCTACTTTTCATCAGTGATCATGATCATTTTATTACATTGTATTTTCATATTCCTGCCCAGGATCGGGTCTGGAAAGGCAATGTGTAGCCATGAATATTTAGAATATAAACATTCAAAACATGACGATATACAGCAGATGAAAGTATTATGTAGCGCATGGGACTAACTTCGTGAAACTTGTGCATGTAAATTATTTTTTGGTTTAAAATATCTATTTTGTTATATGTTGTATATATATACATATTATATACATTAGACTCGTAGTTTGTTAATGTATGAATCATATAAAAGCCCGAAAATACATTCGTGTGATGTTATTTTTCTAATAGATCTAGATCCACTGTCGCAAAAGCCTGCTGTCGCTTACAAACGTCGCTGGGAGGCGCTGTATCACCTGCCAGGGCGTAGTCGGTTCGGTCTCCAAGCATATACTAGTGGTTTGGGTGGCTACAATATAGTATCAAGTTGTCCAACGGTTTCAGGCAGCCAATGTAGGCTCCTTTTGCCCAGCAGAATCTCCTTGGAGATTATGTTTGTGTGAGTGGTGCTTTATCTGTTGTGTGGGCGTTCGATCTACATGTATTTGACAACGAACGTGAATACAATGAGAAACCTTTAAGCCAGTAGAAAGCAGGGTTGGACAAGTTTTCAAAAATCTACTTGCCCTATCGGGCAAGCACACGGGTATTTCTACTTTCCCGAACCACCTTTTCACTTGCCCAATGCAAAATAACAATGACATATTTCTATGCATTTTTACCACAAGGAAAATTTGTCAGTGAAAAAGCCCTTTATTGTATTGTCCTATGCTTGACCATTATTCACCAAAATAAAGAGGTTTGAGACTTGCAAATGATTCTCTGACAAAAAGAGTCATACTTTTGACTAACATCAATAAGATATTATACATTTTTTGGGGGGAAAATGATGAGTGAACACTGGGGCATAAATTATGCCACATCTAAAAAATTTACAGGGTAACATTCACTTGCCCAAACAGTGCTTTTACTTGCCCTGAGCAAGTGGGCAATGGGACTTGTCCAACCCTGAGAAAGTCGACAAAACGTATTCCACCATGAATAGTCGATACCGCAGGCTAATTCCCTCAAACAGTCTGTTTAATTGTCTGTCAACTCGATAACAAATGAAAATGTGTATTTCCATGAATGAATAGTTCCAAATCCATCCAAAGACACATGAATATCATTTACCTGTGTAATGTGTCTGTACAATGCTATTGTAAATGGCTTTCTTTCATTGTATGAGGACTACGGGTAGTGTCAATGTTTGAAAGGTCGACCACCAAGAACTTGAATGTACATTGTACTTGGAATGAAACGGCATGCCACATCTGCTTGGAGTTGCAATGATGACTATGATAATGACGGCTAGAGGATCAGAGCGGGTAGTGCCAATGTGCAAGTTGGTTGCTGTTGGAAAGCGCAGCAGAGACTTTGCCCGCTGATACATGGTCTTTTTTCAGTACTAAGTAATACTTGCTTGATTTGCGGCTATTTGCGAGAAAAATACTCAGATACTAGTAGCCGGCGGCCGAGTCTGTTCTAACTTCTGGTATTTCAAACGCTGAACAAACAAACGCTTACTTAGAAATTTCACACTTCCCGTTCTGATCAGATTTCTCCCGCACAGAAAAACATCTGTTGATTTTTATCAATTAGCTGCTGCGTGTCAGTTTGCCAAAATCGGGGCGTATAAAAACACATGACATCTTTTCGTCATATAAGCGATCTCGATTATTGAGACAATCAAAAAGTGGAAAAACGCGTTGAAAATGACACAAATTCGGGTCAGGTGTTTCCTAGTTTTGTAGCCATCTGTATTTTTAACAGGCTGGTCAACAGGAAAGAGTCAAGTCAAGAGATCATCCCTTTCAAAAGTTTCACGTTTTCTGACTTAGAAAAACAAGGGTTATATCCGCTATAACCTTCTTGACTTGAACAACATCTTAGGATCCAGTTATGACGTATCCTACGAACTCCAAAATATGGACTCCATTAAAAGCTCTTTCGGCGAATCAAATGCACCTTTACTAGTTTTGTAGTACATTTTGTATTTTTGGGTGCTGTGTTCTAAAGGTTGATTTCCCATACAAAAAGTTGTATTAGGCTATTTCCTTGCTTTGATATTGTCTCAAAAAAATCGAAGATATCGGGCCCAGGATTGAACACGAACTTCGTTCAATGATTTGCCATATCTATGTCTGTCCAAAAAAATGTAATTGTCGGGACTTTTGTCGGCTTACAAGTGTGATAAACTCGGGGACAGGTGAGGTGAGGTACAGGCACAACCCAAGCCGATCTATTGTCTCACCTGTATTATTCTCCTGACCCAAACCAAGGAGGTCTCCTTGATTGAACCACACCGGACCAAACCAAGCCCTGGCGCGTCCTGACGTGTGGGGTAATCCAGACCCCTTCAAGACCTCTGACGCCACTCCTCATACACAATACATACATTACGGGTTTCGCGCAGGTGCAGTACGTTCAGCCAACGTGCTTGTTTCTCCCAACCAAAATCCCATTCTATGTGAGGGGTGGACAGATTTTATCTATATTGTGATATAATTAGCATAAGTTAGCATATTTTTTAAAGAACATACAAGGCCATCTTTGTGAAGGTTTTGGTAATGGGTGAGTGCATTTTTTGTATGTATTATTACCAGTAGTTTATTTGATGCAGTATGTATTCAGTTTTGTTTATCGTGAATACAGGACTTGCCAGTGCATTAGAGATTTTGTCATTCTCTAATTTGTTTGTATAGTTGGAAATAGTAAGTCTACCGGAGAGACTTATTACCTTCGCCAAGAAGGTTATGTTTTCAGGGGCGTTCGTGTATGTGTGTGTGTGTGTGTCTGTCTGTCTGTCTGTCAACACGATAACTAGAGAAGGTCTTGATGGATTGTCTTGATACTTGGTAGGTGGGTAGGTCTTGATGAGACCTCAAAATGATTAGATTTTGGGCCACCTGGCGGCTTGTCATGGTACTGCAGCAGAACTTCCGGTTTTGATATCTCATGATCCAGACATGCTAGGGTGACGAAATTTAGATGGTAGATAGCTCTTGTGCTGGGGATAAAGTGACATGAGTTTGAGCCCCCTAGTTGCTTGCTCTAGAACTGCAGGGGGGTTTAATGGGACAAATGTTTAAAGGGGGATAACGTCAAGAACCGATGGATGGATCATCGTGATTTTGGT